CTACAATAGAAAATTGATCAAAATTACTCTACAGTTGGACTTTTTAACATCCTGTCAACGTCACGACCTCTTCCCACAACATCTCGATTTTTTATTTACAAGAGGAAGGAATACATTTTTTAGTGATAAGTCGAAATACATGTTNAAACATCATGCAACTGTTTTTGCGAAGAAGTTATTAAGATTGGAAATTGCGGACATTCACAGACATTGTAAACATTTAAGAAACAGCTTAATGTTTGTACACAAGGATATTTGTAAGTCACTTCCCGCTTATATTTGTAATCGGTTTTTCTCGACTCAATCATTTTCTCTACATAGATTCCATGATAAAGAATCTTATAGATTAAATAAAAAATTTTTGTGGCTACAGAGTAGGAAAGTAAGGATGGCACGGGATACTACGAATATTAAATGTATTAATTACTTCTGTGGTGTTTCGAATCATTTGCACAAACAAGAAGGGATGTCTTCGCGTTCTGGGAACAGGGCGACTAATAACGTTAAAAATGTTAAATTTGATTTTACGTTTGATTCTCCTCCACCTTCTTCCAGTGTGAATATGGTGGAGGTCAACATTTCTCCAAAGTCTTTTACTCATTCCAATCCGGATTTGTTGTCTCTGCGGGAAGGTTGGTTTATCAATCTTTCCTCTGTAGACATTCCGACACAGGTCATTAGGTTATTACAATTAGGTGAGGGCTTTAGTTTACCTCCACGATGGAATGACTTGATGATTATCAGATTTATCAAACACTTAGAAAATAATTTACGTGGTTCTCCTCTCCCTTTGAAGATGGAGTTTAGAAATCGGTTTGTCGCCTTGCTTTCCAATGTTCAGAAGAGAAAAGAAAAACGTACAATTTTAGATACTGAAATTCTTACTGCTCTCTCAGCCACAAATACTTTCTTGAATAACAATAAGAATATTTTGTTAACCAAGGCCGATAAGGGAAATATAGTAGTAGCACTAGACAGGTCGGTTTATATTGATAAAATGCGTTCTCTTTTGTTGGATAATGATACTTATGTTGAATTAAAGCGTAATCCGGCCAATAAACTTTTAGATAGCTTACAAGTATTGTTAAAAAGATGGAGAGACCGAGATTATATTTCTGACAGTTCATATAAACATCTTAATGATTCTAAAGCGATCTTGCCGCGAGCATATGGTTTACCTAAGATTCATAAGGAGGGTCATCCTCTCAGAATCATTGTTTCGTCTGTTGGCACGCCTCTCCATAGGTTAGCATCTTTTTTACATAAAATTATTTACAAGAGTTTACCGTTTGCTAGAAGTCATGTTCTCAATAGTTTTTCTTTAGTAAAGAAAATCTCGAACATTTATATTGATGATCATTTTGAATTAATCTCCTTAGATGCGATTTCTTTGTTCACTAACGTGCCTGTGGAGTTGGCGGTCGATAGTCTTGTGAGTAGATGGCATTTTCTGGAGAGGGAGACATCTTTGCCTCGTGTTGAATTCATTACAGCGGTTCGCTTGGTTTTGAATTCAACCTTTTTTGTTTT